AAACTCAAATATCGTAACGGACTCAAAAGTTATGTCCATTCTACTCCGACGCCTCCAAAAAATTTATCTCAAATTGGTTTTTTGCGTTATCGTTAATACCCCCGGCAATGTGCCTAACCCATCACGAAGCAAGACGAACTTCTTTACTATCCTACCGGTCGAGTTAATCAGCCTTGTTTTAATCTGACACACGATTCGACTTTCACGACAATGGCTTCCTAAACCGCCTCAAAGAACTTTGCATCATCCGGAACTTGTGATGCATGAAAGTATAAGGGCATCCCCACCGGTGCGACTGTATAATCAGACTGTAAAATACCGTTTTACAGTTCCCGTATTTTGATTTTTGTCAACCCCAGGGGTAAAACTGTAAAACATCCGAATAATGTTTTTATCCGGAAATGAACGCCTGCGCAATGGCGTGGGAGGACGACGATGATGAAATGGATCAAGCTTGGGAGATTCTTGGCTTTCAAAGGCTCTATTGCCAACCGCCAGCCAAACCTACCACGAGATAGCGAGGCTACTCATGCTCGGATTTACCTACTACTTTGACCCCAATCCAATCTACGGCGAAGCCAAGTTTCGCCGTCATTTTCGAATGGCCAGACCGCTGTTTGAACGAATCATGGACGGTGTGGTGATGCGTGATGAGTACAAAGAAAGAGGGAATGGTACGCCTAACGAAGTTTTGATAACAGCTGCCCTCCTTTTAGCCAATAGATACAGAGTACTCGAATTCGAGCAGATAATTGGACAATAATAATATTATCCCGCCGGCGCGAATTTTTCAAATTGACTTGCAACCTTGCCCTCACAAGTGTCAGCTTTGATTTCGCAATGCAGGAAGCCCAGCGTACACCAAAGCGCAGCTACACTGTCGCAACAAAGCAGGAAGTACTTGGACTAGTGGAAGCTGGCCTCGTCGACTACAAGGTGTCTGAACTACTGGGTTTTCCACGTCGAACAATCCGAACATGAATTGACCAGAAATGGGACATCCTGGCCTACGACGGTAACAAAAAGCGCAAGAAGATCGTCCCTGGTGGCCGTCCCGAAACCTTCCCCGACCCAGACGGACTCGTTCTGTTCATGAACGAAATGCGTGAACAAGAAAGAGCCCTGACGACAACACATATCGTCAAATGGATTAAGCGGCATCAAGCGGACTGGCTGCGCTCCTACGTTGCGCGGAAGAAGCCAGGCGCCGGATACCAAAGTCTGCTGAGCCTTCTTCAACGGTTCTGCCATCGACACGGCTTCTCACGTCAACGGCCTGGGAAGAACAAGCAAAGCCAAGCTGCCTTGGTCGAGGTGCGCGACAAGTTTGCAGAGGAGTTCCACCGCGAGTACCGAGGGTCTGGTCCTGAAGCCATCTAC